TGCTATTATGAAAAGAAGATACTGCACTTGTGTCTACTTCCCTCACGAGCAGAGACCAATGGGTGAAATAATCCAAACTGGTTGGTTAAAACTGTGCTTGATGTCTCTTCCTCAATAACCTGGCTACTCCAAGATGGAATGCATGGCTTTATAGCGATTCCTCAGTTGGATGATTGGGTAAGTTGAAAAACACATGGAAACCTTTTAAAAAGAACCTCCTTCCTCCTCCCCCCAGCTCTATAGAGGTGAAGTATAGAGAGGTGCTTTGTGTTGCCTGTCTGCAAGGATTGCAGTGTTATGGCTGTTCTGGTCTCAGGATATTAGAGAGACCAGCTGGGTGAGGCAATATCTTTATTGGACCAGCTTCTGCTGGTGATAGAGAGAAACTTTTGAGAGGTCTTCAGGTCTGTGTGGTTTGAAACTTGTATCTCACCAACAGAACCTGGTCCAATAAAAGATATTACTAAAGTTTACTGACCTGGTCTCTCTGCAAGGAGATCTTTCCGTACCCAGGAGGGAGGGGGAGGAGAGAAGTATACTTTCGAAATATAGCTGTAGAATGTGGCATAGTCCATCAGTGCAGGATGACTGCATGCACTATGCAATTGCCTGTGCGCTTGAAGGTATGTCTACACTGAGCTGGGGTATGATTCCCAGCTTGAGGAGACAACTAGTACTCATCCAGCTGGTATGCTAACATTAAAGTGTAGACATGGTGGTGCAAGCTAGGTACCTTGAGTGAATGCCTAGGGTCTCAGACGGTATGTATTCAGGGCAGCTAGCCTATCCTGCTGCTTGTGCTGTTTTTCGCACACTAGCTCAATGTGAGCTAGTCTCCTTTGAGCCCGGAATCGTACCCCCAGCTCCAAGTGTGATTATACGTTAACACTGCCCTGTTTTGTGTGAGCACTTTCATCACCTTAGTAGAAAACAGGGAAACTGAACTACCCCCTCCTCCCTGCACACGGTCCATTTAACACAGGATGGAAGATATCCGTTTCTGGGTGCCCTTTGCTACTATTGTTTGTAATTTAATTGTCCATGACTTTGCTGAGAAGGCACCAAGATGAAGAAAGTCCCTGCTACAAGAGCTTACAACGTAAGGCCCCAGTATAGTAACAAGCTCTGCACAGATGCAGGGGCCCATCCACAGAGCCAGAGGCCTCTTCCTGCCATTAGATTGCTGCAGGCTCACTCTTGCACTTCCACTGTGGCCTGTGGAGATAGGTCTGAAGGACAGACTTCCTTGTGCCCATGCAGAGCCCCACTGGGGATTTGATGGTGGAAGTGGAGCCTAGTAGACTGATGTAGGAAAGAGGATGGAGGGGAAAGCCTACAGGACACTTTTTTTTAAAGTTATGAATGTAATTCTTATCAAGCACCAAAGCATTGCACTGAGCTGAATTATTTAAAAATGTTTTCATTAGAAGGGGTTGTCTCCATTTTATTTCTTGTACAATGACTAAAAACGATCACCCTAGGCATCTTTTTTTAATCATTCAAAAAAACCCTCCCCATTATTTTTAACAGCAATAGGTGGGCTAAGCATCATTACTGTATGTTTCAGGAATGTGAAGATGAGCTCAGCATTCACTTCCCCGGCAAGCTCAAAGCGTGGGCAAACAATACATGCAATAGGACTTCAGAACATGGTGCATCTGTTGCACAAGTGCCGAAAGCTGCAGTGTTTTTCCCCATGAAGTACAATAAAAATACACATTCACAAAGCAGGTAGCCCTCAATCCATCTCTCCATCCCCTAGAGCAGCTTTAGATTCTTCTACCATATGTGAAATGAAACTTCCTCGGGTATATAGTGGCAAAACCAATATTTGATTCAACAGGTGCATTTAGTCTGTTTTTAAGTGCTCAGAATTCACAAACGGGCCAGATTTTCAAAAGAGCTTGCTTTTCATTTAGGCACCTAAATAAGGGTTTGATGGTTGGTGCTGAGCTATTTTGAAAATCTGGTCCTAAAAGTTCAGTCTGTGCGCCTCCTGCAACAAGCAAGAGTGAAATTTCCATTGACTTCAATGGATGCCCGAGCAGGCCCCAACTGCCTAGGAAAAAATCATTTCCTATTGGTTAAGAACCTGCTCCTGGGCCGTGCTGAGTGTACATGCCTTCTATTAGTATTAATGGGAGTTAAGGTTGTTTGGCATGTTGTGGGCTGCAGTGAGCACTTCAGGGGATGGGAGCCCAAGGCACTAATCCTGCAAGCTGTTCCTCACAAATGAACCCCTGCCCCCACCTCACTGATGTGTGGGTATAGGACTGTACATCATCTGGCAAGATCAGGGCTTACATGACCACTTCAGCTTATGGAAGACCTACTTCCAAGTGACTGCTTATTGTAAACTTGCTTCTGCTCAAGTATCTTGTTGCAGGGAGGGTGAATAGGATGAATTCAAGAAAGAAGCTGCACCATGAGGTAAGAAAAGAAAATGTTTTGACTCGTATTTCTTTTGTTTGAATATGAAAAATGTTATTTAAAATAGTTGCCCTGTTTTCTGACACCAATGTCCTGTTCTGACCTCGCCATCATCCCTCTGTTGAGGGGTAGAAGATGTTTGGGGTCTTATATATCATCTTCCCAGTTATGGAGAAATTTGATGTAGAGTTTGGCTATAGTCTAAGTGTCTTTTACTTACACATAAACATCAGACCTTGGACAGAGGTGGTCAAACAGCATATGGGGTAATCTCTTTCAGGAGTCTTAGCCCAACACCAATGCCTGCTTCCCAGGAAGCAACTCTAGCTCCAGAACCTTGCATCTCTGACACAAAAAATAACTAACCGAAACATAGCATGTCTCCTCACAAACTGAACACTTGCTCACATGTTAAGAAGACTTGGAAGACAGTGTAGTAGCAGCCCCTGCTGACATCAGGTGCAAAAAAGCATTTAATATTGTGATAAAAAATGCCATTTCTCTATGTTCAGAAATGTAGTAGGAGGTCTGAGTATCATTTTTCTCAGACAGTTTTGCCTGGCTGTCAGAAAGGAATATCACTTTAGCTTGGGGTATAATCAGCATGCACACAAAGATAGGAAGACATGATTATATCATAGTTGCAAGAAGATGCTGAGCACTTTAATCTGGGTTGCTTCACAAGGATTTAATTAATACAGATAAGAAGGGGGCTCATTGAATGTAATGAGTCTGGTCCTAATCTTGTTTATGTGGCTGTCATTACCTTGGCTTCTGTGGAGTTACTCGATTCACACAGGTGTAAATAAGATCAGAATCATGCTAATAGGTGGCACCTGTTCTATAAAGCAGACATTCAAATACAGGAATAGAGGTAGGATTCAAGTTGTCTAGTCTTCAAAATTTTCCCCTGGGCTAAATGTTCCTTTCAGTTACACATATATGGCCCCCTGAAATTAATGGTCTTACGTGAACATAGCTGAAAGCAAGGTTCCCACTGAAGTTAGGCTGTATAAGGAGGAAAAAAGTGCATTCAAACTGACAAGATCTCCTTATGCTTGCTAACCTGCAATTTTAAGATGTCAACAACATTTAAAAAGCCACTGCTGGTTAGGAAGCTTTGATTGTTTTTAAAGATGTTTGGGTTTGGATAAACATTCCCTAGTTTGCAAACTGACTATTCTGTGGCTGTGCTGAAAGATGAGCATCTAACCAACTTGAAATGAAGCTACCCAAAGTGAAATTGATCAGCCTGTTTTCATTAGCTATAAAAGGCCCACAGTAAGCATAGGTCCTATAAAGTCAGTAATGCAGTTGTTCGTAATACAGGTAAGGACACTTTTGTTTTAAAAACAGTGGCCTGACACTTACAGCTCCCAGCGACTTGAACTGAAGGGGCTCAGTACCTGAGGCTTCATAAACCTTATGACTTTTTTTAAGCTGAGGGGGTGAAATCTTGGCCTTCATAAAGTCAATGGCAAAACTCCCATTGCTTGTAATGGAGACAGGATTTCGCTTCGTGTCCTGATGACTGTACCTCCATTAGACAGTGCCTGCCACGAGCCACTGGATGGCGCCCCAGTACAAGCTGAACTCTGCAGTGGGGCTGTGGCTGATTAACTCCGCGGAGCTAGCCCAGCTGCTGCTGACAAAGTAGTGTTATAAATCACTACTGAGAACAGAGAAGCGCCTGCCCCCAACCCGTTTGAATCGCGTTTCTCGTGGGACCATAACCTCTGAAGTAAGTGAGACCTACAGGAAACCAAGCTGAGCGGCTCGGTTCATGCAACTCAACAAGGGTCTCTGGAAACAATCGTTAACAGTATATGGTGCACAAAGCATCTTTCTCCCCATCTCACCTCCCCCGCAGCATACCATAAAGAAAACACAGTAGAAGACTAATAGACGACTGCCTTGCTTTGTCTCCATTGCGCAGGCGTCGGTAGTAAATTCACAACTTCGTGCAAACCCAGAGAGCGTGCAAGCGTTTTTGCACGACGCGTGGGGCATGGCTGTGTCCTAGCCTTCCCACCAAGCTTCAGTGTTTTCAAAGTAATGTGAGCATTTCATGGAACTTGGGTGATTGAAGTCTCCTGTTAATGGTGATTTCCCCACCGTTTTCCTCTGTCGGTCATTTCCACCCACCAGAAAAGCAACGAGCAACAACTAGTGTCCTACTTCCAGGAACTCTGAAATACTTTGCAGGGGATTAAACATACCCCCCACCCCCTCAATTGCTTGGGCTGTTGGTTGCTTGCCTATGATATGCAGATGATCTGCTGCATTTGTATCCTCCCAAAACAGTTAGATGTAACGTGTCCTAGCCCCTGTACGGCCTTGGCAACTCCTCGTCCTCTGGGTTTACATAATGGAGGTCTCCCTCTCAAGGTGCAAGCCAAAACCAAGAGCAGGCGCTCAGCCTACAAATCCCAGCATTCCCGGCCCCGTAGCGCTGAGGAATGAACCAGCTGTTGAGGATGGCGTCTGCGCAATGCTGCGAAACCAGCTTCATAGTACCACACCCCCGGGGAGGGAGGGAGCGAGGGAGGCAGCAGCATCTGAAACATTAAACCATCAGAGAGAGCCGGGGGGGAGGAGAATGGAGTAGCAGAGCAATAGAGAGGGGGAGAAAATATTAGCGAGGGGAGAGCTAGCAGTGACTTCCTTCAAGGAAACTCCAGGAGGGGAAAATAAGAAGGAATAATGCACTAGAGGAAGGAGGTTGATAGTCGCTACAGAGAATCAGCAGCACCTATAGCAATTGACATCCTGCTGCAGTGCCGCTACCTTCGCTGACTGATCCTGTCAATGGAGCTGGAAAATATTGTTGCCAATACTGTCTTGCTGAAAGCCAGGGAAGGTAAGAGAGAGAAACAGCAGGGGAGATGGAGCATCCCTGTCGCATTTACCCTCCTGGTAGTGGTAGGCAATGCATAGCCGGAGGAATTGGGAAATGCACACTGGATTTTTAGACCCCGTGCTGATCCTGATCCCTCTCGAGGTTGCCTGTGGTTGAACCTGCGTTTAAAATGCTTATTTGAAACAAAAGAATGTTTATCTCCAGCTGTGAGGAGGTTCCGTGGGAGGATATTTTTGAGATCGCAGAGATTATAATGGGCAAATATTCACCGCTTCTCTCCAATCTGATCCCACAGATTGTGCTATCTCAGAGTCTATTGTTAAAGGTCAACTGCAGATGCATTCATTCAAAAGGGTTAGCAAATATGCAAATAGCCTTTTATTCTGTATGGTGCGACTGGCAGAATACAGCCATTGCCTTATTCGGCATTATCAGGTGATATAATGTTGCTGGGAACTGTCCATTTTAAATCATTTTTTTTATCCTAATCCAGTTTTATGTGGGAAATCGAGTAAATGCAAATGGAGCGAGGTGACATGTAATGAGCTTCTACGGTGCATATGAAAAGGGACCTCGATCTGCAAAATAATGCATGGTTTCGGAGGGGATTTTGTGTGTGAATAGCTGAACTGGCGGCTGTGTCTTTGCTTGCTGTGTTACCAACAGATGATTGTATGAAACTGCTATTGAACGTTCTGGTTCGAAAGGCAGATCTGGTTAGATTTGTGAGAGGTGGTTGATGCTTGACGGGAGGGGGGTAGAGAGAGGCTAACAGAAAACCCTCGCTAAAAATTATTGGTGCTCGTCCTTTTAAAAATGCAACATATACGTTAAAAATATCCGGGCGAACTACAGAGCTAGCTGCATTGCCGAAGATGACTCTCTTAAGAAAAACCCTGATGTGTACAGCGTGTTTTCAGAGGGGGAAGTGGTTTTCTGGTTTGAATGATCAGGTTTCTACTAAGCCTGGCTGGGAGGGTACCCTGTGCGATGCTCTCACATCTTGAGCCGATCATAACGGAACAGCTCATTAACCTGGCTTGCAGTATTTAATATTTTCATTCACTGCGTTTGATGAATGAAGAACCCCTTGCCAAAAACATAATGACTCCCATGTCTTCATTATCTCGCACATCTTTCCCATTCTCAGGCTCAGCCCTGTGTTTATATAGCACGCACGGATCTCAGCTGGACTTTCATGAGATAATGCAGCAGGGTTTAGCTGTTAAACTTGTGGAAATTTAGCTGTTAAACTTGTGGAAATTTAAATCGCTCCTTGGAAGGTTCCATCCACTAGAAAACCCATCTGACCCTTATTTCAAATGGTCACCCCCCCTTTTTTTTTCTTCCTTGGGGGGAATGGAAGTTTCCATCAACAATAGCAGTCTTCATTGTTTATGTGGTGTGTCCTCCCCCCCCCCAATAACACAATTGAGCCTTTGAATTTGAAAACATCACTTTTATGGGTCTCCAGTGTTTTAATGTAGAGGTAGCTTCCTTCCACTGTCTAATCCTGATGGTATTAGAATTCTTCTGTGTGGTAAGGACAGTGTGAACACCTGTGTGCAAGACATTGTATTCCACTGATGGCTAAGAGCTCAAGGGGGAGGGGGGAAAAACACTAGCGAAAACATCTGTGAGGAGCCACCTGGTGGTTGAAAATTATTATACATTACATGGCTTGGGGAAACAAATCTCTTGGCAGTCAAAATTATTACTTTTGAGATCACTACATGTGTATAGGCAGCAGGCCATTCCGAGTGCCACTGCTCTAGGGGGATAGAAAGTTAATTCCTCTTTGTGAGACTATTTCAGATTTCTAGTAAATATACTGCAAAATCTTTAGTGTGGAGCCAATTCTAACATAGACTTCTATCTCCTTCTGATATTCTTCTCTCTTTCTTCCGTTGGAGGAACAGACCCTATATTATGTATAAAGTGAATTTGTGAAGCTCTAGATTGTTACAGAATAATTTATTCTTAGTGGTATTGAGTTAGGGGTGGTTAACGTTTATTTATTGGGCTAAGGAATTAGATTTTCCTGAGAAACCTCAGAAAGGGATTTCTGAGATGATTATACAGGATATTTATTTGTTCATGCTGTCAGAAGTCCACCAGCACCAGCCGGAGATCTCAGTGACAAACAGCTCAGGAATTAAAGTTTAAGCTTCTTATTTCATTCCTTCTCCTTATGTCCAATTTGCCCCCAAACTTTTGTACCTAAACAATTTTAAAGCAATTTTACCTTGGGGATCCCCTCTCCACAGAAACCATTTAAACAGAGATTTATTATGTACAGAGGCATAAAACACAGAGAGAACATTTCATGGTGAATGAGAGCGGGATTGGTGTGATTTACAAGGAAACAAGTCCACGTGGAGGGACTTTTTGATTGGTTAAAATAATATGTGGATCCAACATTGCTTAAACGTCAATATACTGAAAACAGTTACTAGAGAAAACTGTTCTAGATGTGATATAAACAGCAGGGTTTCGTGCACTTTCCTCTGAAGCAACTGGTACTGGCCCCTGCCAGAGACAGGACACTGGCCCAGAATTGGACCTCAAGTCTGATCTAGTCTGGCCATTCCTATTTTCTTACAGGAGTACAAATAAAGGAATATTAGTGTAATAAATGAGATAATTTCAACTAGTACACCCAGCATTATACTAGCACATGAACGCCTGAGACAAAATAGTCAGATTTGCATAACATTTATATAAATCACAAGGGTATTTTGAGATTTACCTACAAAGTAAAGCCGTGAGATCCTCAGAATAAATTATGTGCTATATATATAGTACAGTCAAAGAATACTAGCTATAGATCAGTGGATTATTCTTTTCTGACTTCAAACTGGAGCATTCTTATTTTCTGCTGGGTTTTTTATAGTATGGCCTAGGATATGTCTACGTGGCAATAAATAAAATAAAGGACCCACGGAAGCAAGTCTCAGAGCCCAGGTCAATTGACTCAGACTCACAGGGCTCATGCTACAGGTCTAAAAATAACAGTGTAGATGCTCGGGCTGGAACCTGGTCTGAGTCCCATCTCCCCTCAGAGTTGAACATCGATGCTGCCATTTGTAGCATGAGTCAGCTGACCCAGGCTTTGAGACTCGCTGGCTGTGGGTCCTTTTTTTTGCAGTACCCTTGGAATATAATTGGGCATCATCAATATAGACTGTTTCAGATTTAAGATCTTTAGTAATACTTTAAAGCACCAGTATTAACGTTCTTAAGAAATACAGTTATGTGTCATTTACAAAGAATCAGTTAGGGTTGCCAACTCTCCAGGATTGGCCTGGAGTCTCCAGGAATGAAAGATTAATCTTTAATTAAAGATTGTTATGTGATGAAATCTCCAGGAATACATCCAATCAAAATTGGCAACCCTAGAATCAATGTATTGCAAGAATTTTAAATTTGGCTATATACTGCATAGCCTTTTGCTACCCTTGATCGTCAAGGAAGTTCCAGTAATATTGAAAGAATTTATATAACAAATCCATTAGCTAGAATTGAAAGTTAAAGGTGCAGTAAAACTTCTAGGTTTGTAGCCCCCAAATTTACCCTATGTCTTTTGTTCCATGGCTGCAAAGTTTGTGAAATTTGTTGGAGGTGGTTTTGTTTAGTTTTAAAGCAAATGCTTCATAGCATTAGGGGTTTTTTAAAAATAAAAGCCTCGTACGCCTGGATGACCCCACAATACTAAAGGAAAGAGATGCATAACAGATTGTCTTGAGGTTTTCAAGATGTTATTACAAACTGCAACAAGTAAGAATATTCCTAAAAATAATCTGTGCTCTGAAGCAATTGTAGATGAATGAGACACCCGCTTGTACTGAGTACCAAGACTTTTTAAAAAAATTACTTAAATAACTCCAGAGTAATTGCATCTGAAACTGAATTTGCAAAAACTCTGGCCCTTTTCCTGAAAACTCTTGTGTATGTTCTTTACTGTACTTCCAGTTCAGTTAAGCACATGCATAAGTATTGGCAGGATTCGGGCCTTTACTGGTTGCTGTTTTACCAAGAGTGAAGGTTTATATTAGCTGAAACAATAGGGGGAGATGATGGAGGTGAGGTAATATCTTTTATTGGACTAACTTCTGTTGAGAGAGCCAAGCTTTCAAGGGACTAACGTGGCTGCAACAACACTGCCCTGAAACAATAAGGACATTCTGAAAATGACAGGGGCTCCACCAGCCCGGGAGTTGCTCAAAGAGATGGAAATGAAGAAAGTAATTAAACTAAATAGCAAGGTTCAATCAATGGCTATGGCTTGACGTTTTCTGACAAGCAAAACATTATAGCAAAGGGGCCTATTCTGCTCCCACTGAAGTACTAGGGCGAGGCTTCAAAATGGTTTTAAATCAAGGTTTCAACAAGCCTGCAACATTAAATCCAGTAAGGAGAACTATGTCAAAGACTTGGAAGTAGAGCTAGATAAATATTTTCCAGCAAATATTGGTTTTTAGAACATTTACTTTGGCTTTGCTTGTGCTCCCTTTATGCAAGCTCATTTTGTGATTGTTATAGGAGCACAACCATCAGTGGAAAGTGGATTTTTAAGCTGAAATTGACCTGGAAAGCAAACTTTAAATTGTTTGTATAAAACAGTCATGCCAGAAACCTGATGATTATAATAAAGAATTGCACTCATCCAAACAATGAACAGAACCAATGCACTATGACTTATGTGACCAGTCATAACTGAACAATGCAGCTCAAATTGCAAGTCATGGAATAAACAATTTGCACACAAAAAAACCTTAATTCAATAATTGCAAGTAATGAATAAACGCAAGAAAAAATTGACCTGTTTGCAGAATGTTCATGATTTTATAGGCAATATTAATCATGTAAATTATTAATTGAGTTATAAGCTGTACTCAGAAATCTGTATTTTAAATAGTATTTTTGAGTGTGAAGGTTTGTTTCTCTCTCGCTCTCCTTTTATTTTTTAAAGTGAAGTTTCCTCAGTTTCATATTTCTTT